CGATGACGCCTGCCGAAACTACGGCTTCTTTCAGGTACAATTCAGAGGGAAAAAAGTAACTCCATATGACGTTTATGCATGCTGATATAACGGAAGAGTTTATTCAAGTAACTTTCGATCAGTAATAATTAATTTCTGTGGTTCTGGTGAAGGTTGTGAACCACGGAGTTCCAGAGGAAGTGGTCGAGAAGATGGTGAATGTGTCTAGGGAGTTCTTCCGTCTACCGGAGAGTGAGAGGATGAAGAGCTACTCCGACGATGCAACAAAGACGACGAGCTGTCCACCAGTTTCAATGTCAAAACCGAGAAAGTTGCAAACTGGAGAGACTTCTTGAGGCTATTCTGTCATCCTCTTGGGGACTACATCCATGAATGGCCCACCAACCCTCCATCATTCAGGTACATTTTGATACATATGAAATCAATTAAACAGGCTTGATGATTCAGAGAATTCCCGAAGGGAGAAAAGAAACAGAACGAGTTTCGGTGCTCATCATCACTTTGATGAGCACTTTAAGTTCATCAGATCTAAACCGTTTGTATCTCATTTTGATGGTCTATATTTGATTTTTCTTTTTATTTTTATTTATTTAAAATGATTATTTTAATATGTATAGAATTAAAATAGAGAGACAATTTTTTAACTATCATTCTTTCAAAAAAATAGTTTTTTCATTTAGAAATAATTAATTAAAAGAAATCAAATCTGGACCATCAAAATGAGACATAAACGGTCCAGATCAGATGCACCGAAACTAGTTCCGAAAACAAACGAGGGTTTGTGGGACCACTTAAAGTCAGTTACTCTCCTCCTGGTCCTCCTTATTATAAGTCAATTTTTTATCTAATTCATAAATACCAATAAAAACAGTAAGATAAAAACATATTTAATGCTCATTGAAACTAAGCAAAAATGTCTTAAAAAAAGGACTAAGTATTAATACCCGATATCCATATTTAGTGCCCAACATGCCTTGCTTCCAATAGAGAAAAAAAAAGACTAAGCATTAATACTCAGTTGTCATTAAGACTTTTTAGTAACCAGGAGTTTATAATATTTAATGTCAATTGAAATTAAACAAATGCCTTATAAAAGGTATCAAAAATACTTTTTTAGTTGATGTTTTATAATAAGAACCAAAGGAATACTCAGTTACAAAATACATAAAAATCCATTAATTATTATTTAGGACTTGCTTGGATCTACTTGTGATAAGTTCTTATAAGTATTTTTACATAAATAAAGATAAAGCCCTCCTTATATACTTATCTCATCTAAAGGATCCAATGGCAAATCCAACCAACCCTTTACTCAGTTGGGGGTTTCTACACGACTGTCAAACTAAGCACGTTAATTCTAGAAAAAGGAGTTGAGTCCCATGGAGATCAAATATGGATCGATCTCACTTTTTTTTTTTTTTTTTTGGGTTTGTTTTGGGAAGCAGAGAAGATGTGGGTGAGTACTGCAGAAAAATGAGGGAGTTATCGCTGAGATTGCTGGAGGCGATATCAGAGAGCCTGGGGTTAGAGAATGATTACATAAACAAGGCGTTAGGGCAGCACGGGCAACACATGGCGATAAACTACTATCCGCCGTGTCCAGAGCCGGAGCTGACCTACGGGCTGCCCGCCCATGCTGACCCCAACGCCGTTACGCTTCTCCTGCAAGACGACGTCCCGGATTACAGGTCCTCAGGGACGGCAAGTGGCTCGCCGTTAATCCTATTCCCAACACCTTCACTGTCAATATCGGCGACCAGGTTCAGGTACCTCCCTCCACTCGCAGTTTCACTTTCTCTTCTTTTTTATTTTTTACTTCTCCGTTTTGGTCTTTTAACCTTGCGGTAATTAGATGATGATAACTAAGTACATAGTGGGTAGAAGGAATGGGATGAAAGCTGTTGCCGTTTTGAGTATATATTTTAATATCTTTATCCTTCTTTTCATTTATAGATGCAAAACTTCAATTTTATTTCACTTTACGTGTCAAATTAAACGTTCTTAAAATATACATGATCAATTTGGTGCGGTAGTGTCTGTGTTTCATAGCTTGGAATAAAAGATGGACCTAACTTTCTTACTCTTTTGACAGACACTCCTTGTTAGTCCTTTGGGCGAATGGTTTTCATATTTTCTAGAAAGTGCGAAACCGAAAGAAAAATAAGTACTGATGCCTATTTTTATTATAGTTCAAGCCTATAAAGTTGGTCTGCAAAGGTAGGCATTTGATGGTGGCTCTCAAACAATAAATAATGTTTGATCATATATGTTTATTGTCCGGTGGCTTAAAATTAATATGAATATTTGAAAGTTGAATGTTCAAAATGTTGACGAGTAATATGGCATAATGTTATCTAGTCAAAAAGCAAAAAAAAAAAAAATGCTGATACGAGGTTTGGTTTGGTTTGGTTTGGTTTTGGTATGTGGTGAAGGCGATCAGCAACGACAGGTACAAGAGTGTGTTGCACCGAGCAGTGGTGAACTGTGCGAAGGAGAGGATGTCTATCCCAACGTTCTATTGCCCATCACCGGACGCTGTGATTGGTCCAGCACCCGACCTCATAGACCCTCATCATCCTGCGCAGTACCGGAATTTCACCTACGGTGAATACTACCACCAGTTCTGGAACAGAGGCCTCGCCAAGGAAACTTGCCTCGACCTTTTTAAGGCTGATTGAATCATTAAATCATATTTTTAATTTTTAATTTAATTGCCCAGTTATAGCTCCGTTTAATTTCATCTGCATATGATTGACCCAGTTCTTCATGGTTAATAAATTTTAATTCCCTGTTTGACAAATATCTCTATTGATTCACGTAATTAGATCCGTGAGCAACATGATAAATACTCTCTTACTCTCTTTAATTTTATTATAAATTTTAAATAGCTAATTTATGAATAAAAAATAATTATTTAAAATTAATCAAAAGTAATAAATATGTTAAAAATATTTTTTTAAAATATGTCTTCACAATAAATTTAAAAAAATGATAAAAGAAATGCGTGAAAAATATTATAAAAGAGATTATGAAAAGGAAAGAGAATAAATAATTAAAGGTGGAATTAAAAGAAATTGTATTAAATGTAAAGACAAACCTAAATTAAATCTTATAAAATGTATCACATATCTTTCTAAATTTAAAGCTTATGCAAAGGACTAATTAACAAAAGAAAGTGGAATTAAGAATTGCTAGATAATTAAATATTTGGGCTATTTTCATTTACGGTCACTGTAAAATAAAACAGAGAGTTGTTTTAGATTCTTTTATTAATAGATATTATAAAATTATAAAATGCATGATTAGAGACAAGTAATTTTTTTTGGTAAAAAGGTGCCGAAAATTTTTTTTATTTGGTAAAATAATTTGATGGGGAGCTTTTAAAAATTGAAATTTTACATTTCTACTGTCAATACTCTTTTTCTACTGCAGACAGATTACTTCTGGTTTTGCTTTGACTCGGAAAGAACTAATCTTTTTCCACAAAAATTAAGTTAAATACTTTATTTTTTGTATTTTTGGAAGTACATGTTTTTTAGGCCAAAACATATATTTAGTTTTTTAACTTTATATAAAGATTGAATTTGGTCCTTTGACTGTACAAAATATATTTTTAATCATTAAACCCTAAAATTGTTGGTTGTAAATGATGATTTTTGGTAACAATCATGATTATTTTAAAAATTAAATTTAATATGTTAGTATTTAAAAATATTTTATCAACATTCAAGATCTCAATATCATAACTTTTGTTAGTGGTTTTAAGGTCAATGGAGTAAAAATATACTTTTTAATATTAAAGGATCAAATTAAAATTTTGTATAAAATTCAAAGATAGAAAATATACTTTAACTTTTATATAAATCAATAACAAGGCACACAATTATAAATCGGTCGTAGTACAACCGATTCAACAAATTCTGAAGGAACAAAAAACTATAATAGTGCTTTCTTTTTTGCTCCATCATAAAACTATATGGGCTGATGGCTACTACCAGAAAGAAAATTGAAAATGAAATAGAGAGCCTTTCATTTATGGGTCATTAGCCCAATGCCCAATACAAAAGAAATTATAAAATATTACCTCCATTTCTTAATGTGACAGCTGCTAATTAATTTGAGTAAATTAAAAAAATTAATTAAATTAATTATTTGTAATAAATATGAATTAATTTTCTTAAACTACTTCTTTTAGTCATGATTACTCTTAAATAGAAATTTTTTTCCATATGTGTAATTAATAAGGATACTTTAAAAAATGAATTGCAAATTAAGAAAACAAAATTGATCAACGTTTTATACTTAGGATGACATTTAATTTTTAATTAATTTTTATATTAAGCATAGGAGGTGATGATAGTAGTAATAATAACAAAGAAGATCCAGAAGGCTTTCTAACACTCTATCGTAACGTCCAAAAGAGGTGAAGGTGCGTGCTAACCCCTCCGCAAACGACGCGGCGTTTCAAGTTTCCAGGAAGAACCTAGAAGCAACGACAATGTGGAAGGGTTTGATTCATGCGCGAGGGCTTATATATAGTTTGAAATGTGGAATACAGCATCACTGTATCTTGTGCTAACCATGGCTCTCATTCATAATTAACATTTCACAAACAAGCATGCCATCCTTTTAATATTAATATACATATATATGCATCTATTAATATTTCTTTTCCAATTAACGCCTCATCAAACACACTTTAATAATCTTCTCAGGGGAACTAAGGCCCACCTAATCCTTTTACAATGGCCTCCCTTCCACGCACTCACACATATCGTCAACGGAAGGTTTGCCGTAGCAGCCCACCTCAACTTGATCCAGATAACACATTATATTGATCAGTATCTTCAATTAGCAACTTGCAGCATTTGGATATATTGGGTCTCTCTCATTTTGGGTTTAGTTCAGGAATAATACATTGAGCAGATATTTAGAGAACTTATGGCTCTGCTGGGATATTTTTGCAATCAATATTTGTTCTCTATTTTTTTTAAAAAAAATTAACTATCAAGCCACATACTGGTAATCCAGTCATATATACTACCCCCGGTTCTAATTATAAACAAGATCTTATAATTAGGATTGGATGTAGTATTATATTAAACCAAATTCCACCTTAATCCTTCTTTTCAATTACCCAAACATACTCTTAACTTCCTCTTGTGGTTGGCCAAATCTCCATAAATCTGTCAATTATTGATTCAGAATCAAACACAAACGTACCACATACATTATCCATCCTTCTCTTCATCTGTTTTTTTTTTAGCTCACGATAGCTACCGCCAATGGTAGAAACTAATTTCCAATCTCCTTGCACTGTAGACTTGGCCACAAGAACTCTTGAATCCTCTTAATGAACTAGCTAAGTGCCAAATACACTAGTTATCGTGCTTTTTCATCTTTGTACTCAAAATGGATCTCTCACATGAATCCCATTCTCCGTCCGAGCTTCTCCAAGGTGAACTTGTGAAGCAAAAACCAGTAGAAGTAGACCAACAAGAAAAAGAGAGCTTCTCCTACGCGACGCCGCTGGCAAATTCTCCTGCGATTTCCGTGGTCCTGCATAGGAGCTCGGCGTCTTTGACGTCATTCATAGAGCTGGTCCTAGCAAAAGGCTCTTCACGGCGAAAGTTCCTTGCAAGAATGCTGAATCTCCTTCTGCACAGGACCCTGTCCTCCGGCTTCTGGCATCCCACTCTGTGCTTCATTGTTCCGTCGTCGTCCATGAAGAAAATTCCGGACGGAGATGTTTCCGGCTGTTGTATAGCCTGACACCGGTGGCCAAATTCTTTCTGCGAAATGCTGGTACTGGTGGGTCTTTGGTGGGCCCTTTCATTGCGTTGCTTCAAGATAAGGTCTTCATAGATAGCCGGTCAGTTTCCCTCTCTTGCCATGTTTTGAATATTAGAAAAGTTTCATCTTATCCAGCTGAATGTATATGCTTGGTCTTGGGGTTAAAGAGATGGACGGAGTCTAGATGAAATTAACCATAGATTTAGCAGGGACAATATAGACTTTTGACGTTTTCTTTTACTACAGCTAGGTCCCTTTGGGACTTCTGATCAATTACTAAGTTTGAAGGCACATTTTTGTAGTATTTTGTCTTTCATGGGACCTCAATGTCATTTTTCCTAATTTTTTTTGTATTATATTCATCTTATCCAGCTGAATGGACATGCTTGGTCTTGGGGTTACTCTCAGCTTGATCACTTCTAGGTATCCTAATATGCAAGGAATCAACTTCGACTTGCCTCATGTCATCCAACGCGCTCCTTCTTATCCTGGTGTGTGTGTGTGTGTGTGGGAGCTTTACTTTCTAGTATGACCCATTTTTTATCTTTTAATGTTTTAATTAAGCTCATCAAGTTATATGTGAGTTTCATGGGGTACTAAAACATCAAACTTTAATTTTTATCTTGCAGGAGTCGAACATGTGGGGGGAGATATGTTTGAAAGCGTGTGCCTAAAGGGGATGCCATCTTTATGAAGGTGAGTTATATGGAATTGAAGAATTTACTAATTCACCTCGCTAATAAACTATATTATCCCTAACGATGAGAGGTTAATGATATTATGGATTCATTAATGGTAGTGGATACTTCATGATTGGAACGATGATAAGTGCTTGAAGCTGTTGAAGAACTGTTATAGTGCAATCCCAGAAGATGAAATATGATTGTAATGGATGCAGTTTTCCCCACAATACCAAATACTTCTGCTGCAACAAAGAGCATCTCTTAACTTGACCTCCTTATTATGATGACTCAAAGCCCTGGGGGCAGAGAGAGGAAGAGCACAGTTCATGCATTTCGCTGCTTCATCTGGCTTCAACGGCATTAGATATGAATGCTTTGTTGATAACTTTTGGGTTATGGAGTTCTTCAAGTGTGCGTATATATATAATCCTCTGATCCTTAATATAATATCTACTTAACAAATTTGATTAAATTAAGAAAGTTAGTAAGTTAGTTAATTATAAAAAATATGACATGTTTTTCCTAAAACACCATAATCATCTTACTTAATATCATCATATATTTCCTATTTAATTATGGTTGATAGAGTATCAATAGGGTAATATAAAAAAATTAATAAATATGATAAATATATAGATCTTATATTTAGAACCAAAATCAACTTAATAACTAGGTCCTATATTAAGGGTTGGAGGAGTTTATATATAGTAGGTAATGGGTTAGTGAAATCTCTTGCTAATTTAGATTTATCTTCGTTTTATATATTTTGGTTATGAGAAAATTTAATATTAATTAGACCCAAGAAGAGGATAATTGGGTGGATTATTGTCGTGCATACTTGATGATTAGAGTGATGAGTTGTGGTTGAAGCAGTGTTTCCATAGTTATAGCAGAGAGCTCATCAGGTGCTATGAGAGCGATGACTCAAAACCCAGCTGGCTCCAGAGGTTTTCCACATGGAGTTCTTCAAAGACACTTCATCTCATTTCTTATTTTTCCTTTCCCATTTCATTTAAAGGTATTCTGACAACTCTTCAATATCTGCCTTGTGATGGAATGAGGTTTTTGGCACCCCAAACTCATCAAATATAGACCAGCCACAAACTATTTAGATGATTTAGATTTGATTCTTTTTTTTTTAAATAATTATTTTAGTGGGAAATAAAATTTAAAATAAAGATAATCTCTCATACAATTTTTTTCAAAAAAAGTAATTTATATTTAAAAATAATTAATTTAAAACTTTTTATGTACACTTTCCAGATATGAAGAATTCGGGTGATGCACATGGATGTGTGTGAGCTACTTAAATTGAACGCGTGTCTA